CATCACTCACCCGGAGTGATGTCAATACTATTGTGGTAAAATCTTTCATTTGAACACTGTAGTGCTTTCAATAATATAAATGCGATTATCGATCAGATCAAACTGATCAGATGCAAAATTTTCTTTCAAAATAGTGATCTCTTCCATGGAAGCAAACAGTTGAGTATTTTCACACGATTGTTACTGATTATTCATCTCGTGATCAAAAGAACATATTTGATTTTCTTGAACTTGAATTGTTCTCGAAGAGTGCGTATTGTTGTTTATTGTTGAATTGCATTTTTATATGTATCTTTGTAGATGAATCAGATGAAACAGATTATTCTCGGCCTCGGTCAAAAAAGTAAGCACCAATTATCCTGACCTCCAAGTGGTATACATTTATGGAGGTAAAAAGACGTAACTGGGAGAATCAAAGATTCTCCCAGATTAACAACCTCGCTACCAACTTAATAAGGAATGGATACCCATGTTTTTCATTCAGTTCAGGAACTGTATTTATTTTTTAGCACGAATACATTAATGCCATAAGTTTGGTTACTTTTCATTTGTCCTGCAGTAATTTAAATGCCTGTGGTGGTGGGATGTTGTTGTTGTTGCTGGTGGTGGTGGTGGTGGTAGTGGTGGTGGTGAAGTGAAGTGAAGTAAAGTGAAGTACTAAAGGCTGGTTCGATAACAATTGCAGGAGGAATATTTATTCGTCACTTACATACATGAGCATACATACATATTCAGGTTCCAGGTTATTGCTTTCAAGGAGACACAGATAGCCAAGTCACTGTAAGGTTACTGATGAGGTCACTATTTCCTTAACCTTAAGGAAAAATTGGTCGATTTGTTTTCCATCTGGATATCAACAAAATGTGATCCTATTTTAAAAAATGTATCAACTATCCTGAAAACGAACTCGCTCGATATACAGTGAGATGTTTAATATCCCACTTGGATATTGTGGATACTGGTGTATCAACAAGAGTTGATGACTACGTATTTCCTAACGGTGATTTCCAACCCATCGGATTCACCTGTCTACTGAGTCAAAACTTTCTTAATCGATAGGGATTGAGCGTTCTGTTGAACGAAACATCTTTCTGTGATGATGATGACATTAGTGTTTAGTTGGCAAGCTCAACATTTTACAATTCTGCTTTAGAAATTGAAATAAACTGTTACCCTTGGTGCATTTTATTTATGTTTATTGCAGAAACGTTAGTCCTACCTCCACTCTATCTTGATTTATTTCAAACTGTACCTATTCCATATTCTTAAAAGGTTCCCTACTCATCTCAACCGTCGCTTTTCAGATCAAAAAGCTCTCGAAAGTGAATCGCCACCTGAATGTAAGTTCAGAAAACAACAGCTGTGACATAACCGTTTCGTTTTGTATAATGAGCATTCAGTTCTGTCAAGTCTAGTTGAT